AAAGTGGACTTCAACTGTAATTCCGAGCTTCTTGTGTTCTTATTTATATTTGAATTTGTTTTAATCATTCTATCACTTTCTCTTTCTGTCTTTCCTTATGTTATTCTTTGTTTCTTCCTTCTATCACCTTCTCTTATGTTATTCTTTGTTTTTATAATTCTATCACTTTCTCTTTTGTTATTCTTTGTTTCTTCCTTCTATTCTTATATTATTCTTTGTTTTTCCTTCTATCCCCTTTTCGTATGTAATTCTTTGTTTTAATCATTCTATCACTTTCTCTTTCAATCTTTCCTTATGTTATTTTGTTTGTTTGTTTTTATTTCCGTATAAAATCATCACAACATACATAAATGAGATATACGGCGGATAGCCCATTTCAGGAGTATTAACAAAATACGCCTGTTCTTCCATGGGGTCCGGAAACTGCAGAAGGCAGCCGCTGCAAAAAAAGTCAAGGCAGCCCCCAAGAGAGCGAAGAAGCCATTAAACAATTACCGGAAACTGCAGAAGGCTTATATGTCATATTCTTTGTTTCTTCCTTCCATCACTTTCTCTTATTTTATTATTTGTTTTAATCATTCTATCACTTTCTCTTTCTGTCTTTCCTTATGTTATTCTTTGTTTCTTCCTTCTATCACCTTCTCTTATGTTATTCTTTGTTTTTATAATTCTATCAATTTCTCTCATGTTATTCTTTGTTTTAATCATTCTATCACTTTCTCTTTCTGTCTTTCCTTATGTTATTCTTTGTTTCTTCCTTCTATCACATTCTCTTATGTTATTCTTTGTTTTAATCATTCTATCACTTTCTCTTATGTTATTCTTCGTTTTAATCATTCTATTGCTTTCTCTTTCTGTCTTTCCTTATGTTATTCTTTGATTCTTCCTTCTATCACCTTCTCTTATGTTATTCTTTGTTTTCATCATTCTATCACTTTCTTTTATGTTACATGTATTCTTTGTTTTAATCTATCTATCACTTTCTCTTTCTATCTTTCCTTGTGTTATTCTTTGATTCTTCCTTCTATTATGTTATTCTTTGTTTTCATCATTCTATCAAGATCTCTTTCTGTCCTTCCTTATGTTATTCTTTGTTTCTACCTTATTATATCCCCTTCTCTTATGTTATTCTTTGTTTTTATCATTCTATCACTTTCTCTTATGTTATTCTTTGTTTTAATCATTCTATCATTTTCTCTTTCTGTCTTTCCTTTTGTTCTTTGTTTCTTCCTTCTATCACCTTCTCCTTCTTTGTTTTATTATTGCGATCTATGCTCAAAACAGCAGTCGACAGTAGGCTGTAAACAATTCCAGAAAGCGCGCGCCGAAGTTGACCTATACTTCCTGGGTCAAACTGTGCAGTGTGATGCGCAGTGGCTGGGCTCGAAATGAGCTAGAATCAGCGTTAATGGAAAATATCTTGAACGCTTTCCCCTAGTGACCTTGTTTTGTAATAGCGTTCTGATTTGTGATTCATGTTTGTGATTCTAGCTTTGAAAAGTCGCTTGAACGCACCCATAGTCACATGAATTATGTTACGATATTCATTTCAAGGGCGAATCTCGTTACAAAATTACATAAAACGGACATCATATGGAAACTCATAACAGTTTTTTTAAAAAAACAAGGGATTTAATATACTTCCTAAACATTGATCAAGGGCTACCTCCGAAGGCTCCGATTTACTTCTCCAGATATTTAAGAAGCTTTATAAATTAAAATTAAAGGAAGCAGGCATAAAATGAATTTCCCTGTCTTTAGAAAAGTGCAAACACATTGCTCCCAATGGCCAGGAATCGGTCGGTTTGGAGTCTTCTGTGGTATTAGTAAGCTTGTACAGGTATATCTATGGCTACCATTCTCCAATTCTCATTCTCTTAATTCCTACGCAAAAGGATCTGAATGCTGTGCATACAGGTGAAGGAGTCCGGCGCACTCCCAATATCAAGCAAACGTCATCTTTGTTGTTCTCAAGCTGCACCATGCTTTCATTTATTTATTCGTACGGGGTAGCTCATTCAACATCACAATATTTGAACACAATATGTACATAGTTTAAAAAGGGAATGTAAAGACATTGATATATATCAAGGTGATTGTTTGCAATATAGAATAATCAAATATTTACAGTACAATACCGATCGTGTCTGGTGGCTTGCCTCATATTTTTATCATGTTTTCTACTTAACTCTTGGAAATAAGTTATTTGATATCTGAAAGGTATCCAGTTCAGACTTCAGAACATTTCCTTAGATGGGCTATACATGTTATTATCCCGAGACATTTAAAACTTGCACATTGATTGATTTCAACCCCATCGTAAGTGATGCAGATGCTGTCATTACTACAGGTACTAAGTTTTTGTTTACTCCCTATAATCCTAAACTTTGTTTTACCTGTATTTAAATGCAACCTGTTGTTGCTTATCCATGTACCTATTGCATTCATTTCGTGTTGCAATTTATTTTCCAATTCACTGATCCAATGTCGAACACGAGCCCTCATACAGTCTCAACAAATGTATTTTGCCAAGCAGTTTGAAAATGCAAATGGAAATGCATCATCAACGTGGAATGTGATCAATCAAGCCCTCAAAAAACAAAAGAGTAAATCAAAGTGTCATATTACCAAAGATAATAATACAATGGTTGATTCAAAAGAAATAGCAAATTGCTTCAATGCTTACTTTGTTGGGGTTGGCCCCAATCAGGCCAATACAATAGCTTCGAACGGAGTCGACTTCTCACAATTTCTTCAAACTCCCTGCAACAAGTCATTATTTCTCAAACCAACAAACTTGATTGAAATCTTGAATATTGCACGTTCTCTTAAAATAAGCTATGCTAACGGTCATGATGGGATAAGCACATATCTTTTGAAACAAGTTATAGGAAATATAATAACCCCACTAGTGCATATTTTTAATCTCTCTCTGACGACAGGTACATTTCCAGAAGCATTTAAGATTGCTAAGGTTGTTCCGATATACAAAAAGGATGACTCTTCCTAAGTCTCAAACTATCGCCCTGTTTCTATTCTCTCGAGTTTGTCCAAAGTATTGGAAAGACTTATATACAATAGGCTATATTGTTTTCTAACAGAAAATGACTTACTGAATCAGGATCAATATGGTTTCAGGAAATACCACTCAACCGATTTAGCCCTTGCACAATTATATGATAAGGTTTCGAATGCTTTGGCGTCTCGAAAGCATGTTATTGGTGTATTCATGGACTTAAGCAAAGCATTTGACACTCTTGATCACAAGGTACTATCAAGCAAACTTCATTATTACGGAGTAAGAGGAGTTGCTCTTGACTGGTTTAATGATTATTTGTCAGGTAGAAAGCAATATGTAAGCTACGAATCTGTAGATTCATCATTATTGCCTATGAAATGTGGTGTCCCACAAGGATCGATACTCGGTCCTTTATTGTTTCTACTGTATGTTAATGATATCTCGAACTCAACTACATCCTTACAATATATTATATTTGCTGATGATACTAATGTGTTTTGCTCCAATTCCGATTTTCGATCACTTCAGAGAATTCTGAACACCGAGCTACCTAAGCTGTCTTTGTGGTTTAGGAGCAACAAATTGTCTCTGAATCTGAAAAAAACTAATTATATTCATTTTCAAAGAAGGAAAAATGCAACTGATAAACCTATACCTGAAATAGTCTTGGATGGTGAATATTTGGAGAAAAAACAAAATACTAAATTTCTTGGAACTATCATCAATGAAAATCTGAAATGGATTGATCATGTACATTACGTTTCAAAGAGAGTGTCACGCACTGTTGGTTTACTGTATAAGTTAAAACATTATGTGCCTTTGAATATTCTATATATGCTATACAATTCCTTGTTTCTTCCTTACATGTCTTATTGCAATATACTGTGGGCAGACTCAAAAGTATATACTGATAAAATGCTACTTTTACAAAAGAAAGCGATTCGTGTGTGTACCAATGCTGGATATCGCGATCACACTGATCCCCTATTCGCGAGGTTAAAAACTCTGAAAGTAACTGATATTAACTTTTTACAAAAAGCACTGTTCATGTTCCGTCTACATAATGATTCCCTACCTTCCCACTTCCCACCAATGTTTTGTTTGAATAGAAATATTCATACATACCCAACCAGACAATCAAATAAATACCATTTATGTAATCCTAAAACAACAATGGCTATGAAATCTATAAGACATTCTGGTCCGAATATTTGGAACTCACTGTCCGTTGACATCCGTAACTTGAAGTCAGTATATACTTTCAAGAAAAGTGTGAAATCAATTTTATTGAGCAAATATTGACAAATCTCTTAAATTAACACATGATATCATATATGTTTGTCAGCATTTCCTTGATATAGCAGGAAAATCCCCCTCCCATGCACCCTCTATCCCATTTTTTTTTTTGGTTGCAAGTCACTGTTTATTTTTTGTTATTTTCCCCCAATTATGTTCTGTAATTTACTTTACTTTACAATCGTTATGATTTTAAATGTTTCTGGGCTGCAAGCGTATCAAGCTGTCACGCTTAGGCTGTAGCCCTTCTGTATCATCACCTCTTCGAGCGTATGTATCTATGATTTACTAAATGTGGAAATGTAATTTAACTTATGTTTTATACTCATGTAAAGACATTGTCACATTATTGTTATAACCTATGATGATTCAGTAACCAATAAATATTTCAACTATTTCAACTATACTATGAACATGACGGACAAAGAAAGCGGACAAAATATACAGTTCCTCATAATGATCATTCTACCCTCAACAATTGCTATGGTAGACAAAGGAACATCCCTTCACTGCTATTATGTAAAAAATAAGTAGCACAGGTGAATATACATGTGACACCTGTTCTACACATTTTTACATAATAGCAGTGAAGGGATGTTCCTTTGTATACCACAGCAATTGTTGAGGGTAGAATGAGGAACCGTATATTTTGTCTGCTTTCTTTGTCCGTCATGTTCATAGTGTCATGTTCATAGTGTCATGTTCTGGCTTCCGCCCATTATTTGTCCTTCCATCCATCACTAGTGATTTATTTACACAAAATGTACAAAAAGAACTGTTCAGCATTTTTTGTTTTTGATGAGATAGAATGAAGGGCTGATTAGCTCCTTTAATCCTGTCCTTCTCTCTTGTCTCTGACAGCAGCCTACAAAGAGACAAAGAAAATTACATTTGTGTAACAAATCAGGGAGATCTCTGGACTAAAAGAAGAGAAATGAACCCAAGTTTGTCACATCCCCATAAAGTTGGTGAATCCTCATTATCTGGACCTAGATTTTCTCTATTCATTAAATACATTTTAAAATGATGAAGTAGTAGTAGTAGTAGTTGTTGTAGTAGTAGTAGTAGTAATAATAATGATGAATATGATGATGATGAGTAGAAGAAAATACCTTATCAAATGATTGGGTGAGAGTGGACACATGAATGTCATTAATTTTTCTTATTAAATAGGCCATTAGTAACTTTTAATGATCACTCACCAGCATTTTATAACGACTGACCGGTCGATCACCTAGTCGAGACCTAATTTTGTCTGTTAACTCTGCTATATTGGAATTTGAGATGAGGGTGATTAATCAAGTGACAAGGATCCTTGTCACTAGTATACATTAAATATCTGAGTAATAGCAAAGTTATCCAACATCAGCACCTTCAAAACAGTACAAACACCCTAAACCATTGCCATGGGTGTCTGACTGTTCCCATGCAACTCAGAGTGGATATTTCTCATTATAAGATGATGACGTGGATCCTAATCAAATGATCGGTTGAGAACCTACACATGACCAGGCATTTATTTTGCCTAACACGTAATTTTGATAACGAACGGTCACTAAGTAAATCATGTTATAAAACAACATTTTATAAAACAAATAAAACATAATCTTATAAACAAATAATACACATCATTTTGTTCGGGCGTTAGTAAAATTACCCACACTCAGTACCTTCAAAACAGTACAAACACCCTAGGCTAGTGTTAGACTGTTCCAAAGGTACCTTGTGTGGGTAATTCTAACTTATAATGCCCTCACTGCTGTGTACTTTTTGTATACTAAAACCAACACTGATGTATGTTATAACTTCTCTGAATCCAGCCTTATTGAACTTACATTAAACCTCTCTTCTAAGAGTGAGATTTCTGAGATGAGATCGGTGATGGCATTGGTAAAGGCTTCTTGGGGGCTGTAGTCGGGTGTGGTCTGTACCCTCAGAACGAACTTGTGTTCCAGTGGGTGGGGCACCTTATACCCTGCAAACAGGACTTGGGGGTCCTTTAGCAGTTGGCTGCGTGGAGGAGAAGACCATGACAGAATAGTGTATTATCCTATTCTAATAAAGGTACATGTATGGACAGAGAGAGTCTTGATCTAGTACACAAAGAATCTAATGACCCTCAATCAGATGTAACGACATAGAAAAACCTCCACAAAGAACTGTCATGGCTAAAAGTAAAAATGAAAGGTAGCACACTTGGATTTATTACACAAATGAGATGAAGCCCCACAATTCTGTGAAGCCTTCAGTATTACAGAAATATTAGCCAATATAAATGGCAATCTTCTTACATCAATCTATCTCACAGCACATACTTAAAAGAAAGCATAAACTTTCACTAAAGCATAAATTTTGAAGTGGGTCTATCATTAAGCAACCGTTACACCTATGACTGTGCAATTACGTATCTCCAATTGCACATGCGTCATGCTGGAACATTTACTTGTTTGTGCAAAGTGTATAGCATTGTACACTAGAAATGCATCATACAGAATGAATAATTTATGAGGGCTTTGGGAGTGCTCCAATCAAAATAAACAATGGTAGATCTTAAAGATGCTGGTACTTACGCTCTTAGGATGTTACCCAGCGTATGGTCCTCTTTGTTGACTGTGAAGATAGCTGCATTAGGAACCTTGGTGTCTTTCTCAATGGTGATCCTGAAGGGTAAGGAAGGGAAAACAACAATTGTGAATTAATTAGTGCTGTATACAGTATACACAGTAATGGACCATCTCAAGCCTACTCCTACTACTCCTCCTCCTCTTCTTCTTTTTTAAAAATTCTTCTCATCTTCCTTCTTTTCCTTCTCCTTGTTCTCCAAAGTTCACGTAGATTTTTGAAAATATTAGAAAATGTGATATTCGATCTATGATTTCTCATATTCTCTACACATTTTTATTTATTTCAATTATTACCAAATGGACAGCAAAGTTTTTTACTAAAAATTGGTTCAACTAGCAAATTTATCTTCAAAGGAAACTAGAGATATTGCGATTTAAAAAATTAGATGTCGGATCAGCGTGCGCGCTGCCAACTAAAAAACCCAAAGAGACCTTACTTTGCGCACATCACACATAGCTGCATATTACTATCATGGCTGTGTATTAAAAGCTGTGCTATTGATTCTCAATATTTCAAACTCAACTGATTTCACTCAAAATCGGTACTTTAGTGACAATTGATGACACCTAAATAACAGTAAAATACAATTTGTTCAACTTACTGATGTTAGAAGGAATAAATTGTAAGTCTACTGTCATATTTGCCTATCAGCCACATGGGCATGATTGTCATTGTGTGCATTTATGTACAAATGAGTGTAGGCCTATTGACTATTAACACGTAGTGCAGTGCTAAAGGTCAATACGCATTGCGGCATTAGCATTGACTCTCTTTGCTTTGCTGGAGTGGCGCACATGGGTTTACACTTTACAGCTAATTAATAAAAAAATGAGATCCATCATTTAACATAAAACAAAGTAGATCTAGAGAATCTAAGGTATACTTTCATAATTTGCAAGGCAAGATAGAGGTCTATCATACAATCAGTTGGTACCACCTTTTACTTACAATTTTGAGGATATCTGCTCTTATTAGATTTCCAGACCCTTATCGGTAAATGAATAAATAATTTTTTTGACGGTCGAACAGACGCAAACAGAAAAGTGAGAAACAGCAAATGAACTACAAAATTTACTGATCTACGTGTAGTACGCGCTCCCTCGAGTGCATTGCAATTATTGTAGGCTACGTGTAGCTAATATTGTACGCTCCACCATGTACCCTAGCGCAACGTACGCGTAGCTTAGCTCTAGCTAGCTAGAGCGGGGTATTAAAAAGCAAATTTTTATTTTACTTTTGCCTTGGATTTAGGCCTGTTTTGACTTTTGGATTTCATAATGAACTTTGAAGCCACGAATTTCAGCTGTCTGATGTAGACTCGTCTCTAGACCCACTGTATGGATGTTATTTTTAATCAAGGCAATGAATCCCATTGACTTTTTGGTAAGCCTGCAAGGCCTTAGTCTAGAACCAACATAACTCTAGATCTAGATCGAACTCTCGTAGACTGTTTTGGTATGAAATTGTTGTTTTTCATATTAATTATTATTAAGGAAATTCAATCGTTGCAAAGGTATTTATTTTGAGACCAATTTTTCCTGTTACTTTTGTAAGCTCAAACAGTTTATAGAGTCATATTTTCTTTGGATTTTTCATTCTAAAGATACCGTAGCAATTTCTTTCACGGTGGTTTTAGTACGACATGTTCGGTCGTCACTCACTTTCATTTCAACACGTTTACAGGAAGGAATTGTCAGCTCGTCATCTTTTGCTTGTTTTCAGCACGTTTAACTTGTGTCCCGCCACAGAAGTAAGTTCTATCGATAAATCATATAATTATGTAAATAATGTGTTGATGATGTGATTATGTAAAACAAGTAGGAAAAGGAAAGTTATTAACGAAAGTCAAAGTTCTTTGTAAAATAATGTACACGTGAAAATAAGTTGAAGTTAGAAGAACAATCTCTGTGTCAACGTCAATGTATATCGTTGCCAATTTGTCTCAAAATGTAGATTCTTTTCTATGTATATATAAAGAAAACATAAATAAGAACCAATTTCAAACCATTTACTAAGAACATGTCAGACTCAGAGTATGAACAAGATAACTCAAAATGTTTTTTTGTTTGTGCATTATCTTTACAGATTGAATAAAAAACTACAACAGTAGGAACTATACATTTTAACGGGCACATCTCTGCTTGTTCTATGACCCAACCATAACTCTAGATCTAGATTGAACTCTCGTAGAAGATCTAAAGTTTCGTTTGTTGCTATTTGTGTCGCTATTTTATAAAACAAATAACGCACTTGACCCTGTTGTTAGGGAGGCCAATGCCCGGGCGTAAGGCTTCTATGCCCACGATTTGTGCGCTCGTTGTCCAAGTCAGAAAATTACCAGAAGAAAAAAAAAGGGGGAAAAAAAGAAAACAAATATCTATGGAAAAAAATCTATAACAAATACACAATTGTACACTCCACAACATACCTATAATCATGGATCTGTAATGGGTCTTTCACCATTTGTTGACGATCTTGCAGATTTTGACGTATTTTAATCCAATAATTCTGTTAGCAGACAAACATTAACGTGCACATAAGGGAAACTAGATGGGTCCTAGAGGGCGCAGAGGTTAGCTCACTAAAATCCTTCTCAAATCTCAATGGCAGAAGGTAGACCCTAAAAAATATGGAATCCGTTTTAAATGAATTTTGATAGAGATTAACATATCAGATGTGCACAAATGTCACTTTTAACAACTAGAAAAGATAACGAAAAAAGATTATATCTTTTTAATTGCAGACTTTTAAAAACTGCACATTCAAAGGTAGATAGAGTACGATGTTTTTGTCAATCTTGAGTTGGTTTGAGGCCGATAGCTACAGCCATCTCAAATTGAGAAGGGAAACTGTGAACAGAGATGTCATTGTTCCAGCCCCAAATAGAGATCTTGCGACTTCATAATATGAATAATGTATGAGTTCCGGTCAGAACGCCCACCGAACAAATTTGGCTAGTCTTACACACAGTACCTTATTCTCACAGCACGAGACTCGAGTGTCGAGCTTGTACAGTAAGTCATATATGAAAATTTAAAAAAAAAAAGATATTTGATAATTTCAGTAAAAAAATGTCTACGTGAGCAGTCTATATATGATGCACCACGCGTTACCCCGGGGTACCGTAGTACCCCGGGGTACCGCGTTGTGTAGCGCCATCTCGCGTCCACTCGAGTACAATGTATGGAGTGCGTGTACATAGTTCTGTGGTATCTCTATGGTGTATACTATGCATGGTGTGCATGCATGCACTGCTCGCGCTATAGCGCTCGCTCGCGCACTACGGTGGCTATCGCACACTATAGTGCTAGCTAGCTCCGGCGTCCGGTCCCGACCCGCGGCTATTTTAGAACTTGATGTTATTGCACGTACGTACCGTACCTGTATACTCTTTCGAAAAAAAAACAACAAAAGATAATACCACTTCATAATGTGATTTTCATTTTTATTATTCAATTGGAAAATTTGTTTATTCACAACACATGAGATTATCATGACTGCTGTACACAGATAGCATCATAACACAAAATAGAACTTTCATTTATAATTAATAATTTTAATTATACCACAATAATAATACAGGGTGTATCATAACAGCATGAAGTGATATCAATAATAGAATAATTACTTTTAACAACAATGAATTTTAGAAATACAGGACTTAAAGGATTTTTTACAAGAACATTGGACACAATTGAAGGTTGAAAAAATCACACAAAAATAATTTCCCACTTTTTGGTAACCCAGGGTACAGCCTTAAAAAAAAAAATAATAATTCAACAAAATGGCCGAATTTTTTTTGGTACCCCAGGGTACCATTTATGTCATCATATACTCCAATTGAGAAGTTAGGATAGAAAGATATGATTGGATGATGTGATTGTGAGTGCGTGATAAATGGTTAGTTGTCGCGTACAGCTTAGAGAGAGAGAGAGAGAGAGAGAAAGAGAGAAAGAGAGATCAAGCAGGTACTACGTATACGTAGTACGTACGTATGTGCGATATGCATGTATGTGGTAGTATCATGTGTAGCGCTGTGAGTGTGAGCTGCTGCATGGATTATGGAGGTCATTCTTGTTGATTGTAGAGTAGATCTCCGACTGAAATCATAAGGAATACTCATGAGGAAATCAAGTTATTGGAATACCAATCTAAGGTAAATATTAATGAATTAGATCTAGTTCTTTCCTTCTTTTTTACTCGTAGATGTAGTAGTAGGGTGTCTGATCACGCACCCGATGTTGTGTGCGAAAATTCTTCCCATAGAGATTACACGCATCCCTATGCAGTCTACGTGCATTGCGCGACCATGCAAAAAAAGTCAAGTTTTTTTTTTTTCAATTCGAGATTCAAACCTTTATCTGTTGTGATCCTGAAGGTGATACTCAATAAATGAGGTGTCATATGAAAGAGCAGGTGAATTCCAATATTTCCAAAGGGGTGTAGCCCCCCAAAATTCTAAAAATATCTTGGTCAAAACAGCAATTTAAACATTGTGTCCTGGCTAACTTTGAGGTTTGCCACTTTTGAGATATGACGCCCCGATCGATAAGTAGTCCCAGTCCTAAGGAACAATTCTATGTGCTTATATTTTCGCTAGCCCCCAGGGATCAAAACTGATTACAGTTTAAAAATACCCTTCCCGCTATTTGGTGGATCAGCTAATTAGGGGGCGTGCGCTCTGCTCAGTCCAAACCATGGTTACATCGCGTAACATCTCCGCGTACGAACGAAACCCCAAATTCATTACACATTATAGTGAATGAAAGTATGGATGGCCGTTCGCGCCGTAGAACCCGGAAGTGAATACACGTTATAGTCAATGGCAATATGACTATAACGTGTATTCACTTCCGGGTTCTACGGCGGGAACAGCCACCCATACTAGTCAATGGCACATATCGCGGAGACAGCGTGGCTCAAGCTGCAAGTCGCGCATTGGCTTAGCAACATGCGTACGATATGCATACGCTTGCACATCGCGCGATACAGCTGTTTGTCTGAATTTAGCAAAACAACATCACTCTGCGAGTCT